TTCATTTTAGCATTTAATTCAATTTCCAATCTCATTCAAGGCATGAAATAATCAATTAAGCACATTACATACGTGAAAACATGAATCATTTTTTACTTTGACCAGGACTCGAACCTTGGACTTATGATTACTAATTCAAGGCGCTACTACTACACCACAGAAGGTTAAAAGGAATCCAACCTTATAGCTTATATCTGCTATACTTAGGAATGAACGCATTCTAACTGAATGCCACTATGTTCATATTACAGATTCCCCAACCTCACTTGTGGCTTCATTTTAGCATTTAATTCAATTCCCAATCTCATTCGAGCCATGAAATAACCAATTAAGCACATTACATATGTGAAAACATGAAAAAATTTTTGCCCCGACCAGGACTCGAACCTAGGACTTATGATTAATAAGTCAAGGCGCTACCACTACACCACAAAAGGTTAAAAGGAATCCAACCTTATAGCTTATATTTGCTATACTTAGGAATGAACGCATTCTAACTGAATGCCACTATGTTCATATTACAGATTCCCCAACCTCACTCGTGGCTTCATTTTAGCATTTAATTCAATTCCCAATCTCATTCGGGCCATAAAATAACCAATTAAGCACATTACATATGTGAAAACATGAATCATTTTTTACCACGACCGCGACTCGAACGTGCGACTTATGATTTCTAAGTCAAGGCGCTACCACTACACCACAAAAGGTTAAAAGGAATCCAACCTTATAGCTTATATCTGCTATACTTAGGAATGAACGCATTCTAACTGAATGCCACTATGTTCATATTACAGATTCCCCAACCTCACTCGTGGCTTCATTTTAGCATTTAATTCAATTCCCAATCTCATTCGGGCCATGAAATAACCAATTAAGCACATTACATATGTGAAAACATGAATCATTTCTTACCCCGACCGCGACTCGAACGTGCGACTTATGATTACTAAGTCAAGGCGCTACCACTACACCACAGAAGGTTAAAAGGAATCCAACCTTATAGCTTATATCTGCTATACTTAGGAATGAACGCATTTTAACTGAATGCCACTATGTTCATATTACAGATTCCCCATCCTCTCTCGTGGCTTCATTTTAGCATTTAATTCAATTCCCAATCTCATTCAAGCCATGAAATAATCAATTAAGCACATTACATACGTGAAAACATGAATCATTTTTTACCCCGACCGGGACTCGAACCTAGGACTTATGATTACTAATTCAAGGCGCTACTACTACACCACAGAAGGTTAAAAGGAATCCAACCTTATAGCTTATATCTGCTATACTTAGGAATAAATGCATTCTAACTGAATGCCACTATGTTCATAGTACAGATTCCCCAACCTCACTAGTGGCTTCATTTTAGCATTTAATTCAATTCCCAATCTCATTCGGGCCATGAAATAACCAATTAAGCACATTACATATGTGAAAACATGAATAATTTTTTACCCCGACCGGAACTCGAACCTAGGAATTATGATTACTAAGTCAAGGCGCTACCACTACACCACAGAAGGTTAAAAGGAATCCAACCTTATAGCTTATATCTGCTATACTTAGGAATGAACGCATTCTAACTGAATGCCACTATGTTCATATTACAGATTCCCCAACCTCACTCGTGGCTTCATTTTAGCATTTAATTCAATTCACAATCTCATTCGGGCAATGAAATAACCAATTAAGCACATTACATATGTGAAAACATGAATCATTTTTTACCCCGACCGGGACCCGAACCTAGGACTTATGATTACTAGGTCAAGGCACTACCACTACTCCACAGAAGGTTAAAAGGAATCCAGCCTTATAGCTAATATCTGCTATACTTAGGAATGAACGCATTCTAGCTGAATGCCACTATGTTCATATTACAGATTCCCCAACCTCACTCGTGGCTTCATTTTAGCATTTAATTCAATTCCCAATCTCATTCGGGCCATGAAATAACCAATTAAGCACATTACATATGTGAAAACATGAATAATTTTTTACAACGACCAGGAGCCGAACCTAGGACTTATGATTACTAAGTCAAGGCGCTACCACTACACCACAGAAGGTTAAAGGGAATCCAACCTTATAGCTTATATCTGCTATACTTAGGAATGAACGCATTCTAAGTGAATGCCACTATGTTCATATTACAGATTCCCCAACCTCACTCGTGGCTTCATTTTAGCATTTAATTCAATTCCCAATCTTGTTCGGGCCATGAAATAACCAATTAAGCACATTACATATGTGAAAACATGAATCATTTTTTACTCCTACCGGACCTCGAACCTCGGACTTATGATTACTAAGTCAAGGCGCTACCACTACACTACAGAAGGTTTAAAGGAATCCAACCTTATAGCTTATATCTGCTATACTTAGGAATGAACGCATTCTAAGTGAATGCCACTATGTTCATATTACAGATTCCCCAACCTCACTCGTGGCTTCATTTTAGCATTTAATTCAATTCCCAATCTCATTCGAGCCATGAAATAACCAGCTAAGCACATTACATATGTGAAAACATGAATCATTTTTTACCCCGACTGGGACTCGAACCTAGGACTTATGATTACTATGTCAAGGCGCTACCACTGCACCACAGAAGGTCATGAGGAATCCAACCTTATAGCTTATATCTGCTAAATTTAGGAATGAACGCATTCTAACTGAATGCCACTATGTTCATATTACAGATTCCCCAACCTCACTCGTGGCTTCATTTTAGCATTTAATTCAATTCCCAATCTCACACGGGCCATGAAATAACCAATTAAGCACATTACATATGTGAAAACATGAATCATTTTTTACCCCGACCGGGACTCGAACCTAGGACTTATGATTACTATGTCAATGCGCTACCACTGCACCACAGAAGGTCATAAGGAATTAAACCTTATAGCTTATATCTGCTAAACTTAGGAATGAAATCATTCTAACTGAATGCCACTATGTTCATATTACAGATTCCCCAACCTCACTCGTGGCTTCATTTTAGCATTTAATTCAATTCCCAATCTCATTCAGGCCATGAAATAACCAATTAAGCACATTACATATGTGAAAACATGAATAATTTTTTACCCCGACCGAGACTCGAACCTAGGACTTATGATTACTAAGTCAAGGCGCTACCACTACACCACAGAAGGTTAAAAGGAATCCAACCTTATAGCTTATATCTGCTATACTTAGGAATGAACGCATTCTAACTGAATGCCACTATGTTCATATTACAGATTCCCCAACCTCACTCGTGGCTTCATTTTAGCATTTAATTCAATTCCCAATCTTTTTCGGCCATGAAATAACCAATTAAGCACATTACATATGTGAAAACATGAATCATTTTTTACTCCGACCGGAACTCGAACCTAGGACTTATGAGTACTAAGTCAAGGCGCTACCACTACACCACAGAAGGTTAAAAGGAATACAACCTTATAGCTTATATATGCTATACTTAGGAATGAACGCATTCTAACTGAATGCCACTATGTTCATATTACAGATTCCCCAACCTAACTCGTGGCTTCATTTTAGCATTTAATTCAATTCCCAATCTCATTCGAGCCATGAAATAACCAATTAAGCACATTACATATTTGAAAACATGAATAATTTTTTGCCCCGACCAGGACTCGAACCTAGGACTTATGATTAATAAGTCAAGGCGCTACCACTACACCACAAAAGGTTAAAAGGAATCCAACCTTATAGCTTATATCTGCTATACTTAGGAATGAACGCATTCTAACTGAATGCCACTATGTTCATATTACAGACTCCCCAACCTCACTCGTGGCTTCATTTTAGCATTTAATTCAATTCCCAATCTCATTCGTGCCATGAAATAACCAATTAAGCATATTACATATGTGAAAACATGAATCATTTTTTACCCCGACCGGGACTCGAACGTGCGACTTATGATTTCTAAGTCAAGGCGCTACCACTGCACCACAGAAGGTTAAAAGGAATCCAACCTTATAGCTTATATCTGCTATACTTAGGAATGAATGCATTCTAACTGAATGCCACTATGTTCATATTACAGATTCCCCAACCTCACTCGTGGCTTCATTTTAGCATTTAATTCAATTCCCAATCTCATTCGAGCCATGAAATAACCAATTAAGCACATTACATATGTGAAAACATGAATCTTTTTTTACTCCTACCGGAACTCGAACCTCGGACTTATGATTACTAAGTCAAGGCGCTACCACTACACTACAGAAGGTTAAAAGGAATCCAACCTTATAGCTTATATCTGCTATACTTAGGAATGAACGCATTCTAACTGAATGCCAATATGTTCATATTACAGATTCCCCAACCTCACTCGTGGCTTCATTTTAGCATTTAATTCAATTCCCAATCTCATGCGGGCCATGAAATAACCAATTAAGCACATTACATATGTGAAAACATGAATCATTTTTTACCCCTACCGGAACTCGAACCTAGGACTTATGATTACTATGTCAAGGAGCTACCACTGCACCACAGAAGGTCAAAAGGAATCCAACATTATAGCTTATATCTGCTATACTTAGGAATGAACGCATTCTAACTGAATGCCACTATGTTCATATTACAAGTTCCCCAACCTCACTCGTGGCTTCATTTTAGCATTTAATTCAATTCCCAATCTCATTCAGGCCATGAAATAACCAATTAAGCACATTACATATGTGAAAACATGAATAATTTTTTACCCCGACCGAGACTCGAACCTAGGACTTATGATTACTAAGTCAAGGTGCTACCACTACACCACAGAAGGTTAAAAGGAATCCATCCTTATAGCTTATATCTGCTATTCTTAGGAATGAACGCATTCTAACTGAATGCCACTATGTTCATATTACAGATTCCCCATCCTCACTCATGGTTTCATTTTAGCATTTAATTCAATTCCCAATCTCATTCGAGCCATGAAATAACCAATTAAGCACATTACATATGTGAAAACATGAATATTTTTTTGTCCCGACCAGGAGTCGAACCTAGGACTTATGATTAATAATTCAAGGCGCTACCACTACACCACAAAAGGTTAAAAGGAATCCAACCTTATAGCTTATATCTGCTATACTTAGTAATGAACGCATTCTCACTGAATGCCACTATGTTCATATTACAGATTCCCCAACCTCACTCGTGGCTTCATTTTAGCATTTAATTCAATTCCCAATCTTTTTCGGGCCATGAAATAACCAATTAAGCACATTACATATGTGAAAACATGAATCATTTTTTACTCCGACCGGAACTCGAACCTAGGACTTATGAGTACTAAGTCAAGGCGCTACCACTACACCACAGAAGGTTAAAAGGAATACAACCTTATAGCTTATATATGCTATACTTAGGAATGAACGCATTCTAACTGAATGCCACTATGTTCATATTACAGATTCCCCAACCTAACTCGTGGCTTCATCTTAGCATTTAATTCAATTCCCAATCTCATTCGAGCCATGAAATAACCAATTAAGCACATTACATATTTGAAAACATGAATAATTTTTTGCCCCGACCAGGACTCAAACCTAGGACTTATGATTAATAAGTCAAGGCGCTACCACTACACCACAAAAGGTTAAAAGGAATCCAACCTTATAGCTTATATCTGCTATACTTAGGAATGAACGCATTCTAACTGAATGCCACTATGTTCATATTACAGATTCCCCAACCTCACTCGTGGCTTCATTTTAGCATTTAATTCAATTCCCAATCTCATTCGAGCCATGAAATAACCAATTAAGCACATTACATATGTGAAAACATGAATCATTTTTTACTCCTACCGGAACTCGAACCTCGGACTTATGATTACTAAGTCAAGGCGCTACCACTACACTACAGAAGGTTAAAAGGAATCCAACCTTATAGCTTATATCTGCTATACTTAGGAATGAACGCATTCTAACTGAATGCCAATATGTTCATATTACAGATTCCCCAACCTCACTCGTGGCTTCATTTTAGCATTTAATTCAATTCCCAATCTCATGCGGGCCATGAAATAACCAATTAAGCACATTACATATGTGAAAACATGAATCATTTTTTACTCCTACCGGAACTCGAACCTCGGACTTATGATTACTAAGTCAAGGCGTTACCACTACACTACAGAAGGTTAAAAGGAATCCAACCTTATAGCTTATATCTGCTATACTTAGGAATGAACGCATTCTAACTGAATGCCAATATGTTCATATTACAGATTCCCCAACCTCACTCGTGGCTTCATTTTAGCATTTAATTCAATTCCCAATCTCATGCGGGAAATGAAATAACCAATTAAGCACATTACATATGTGAAAACATGAATCATTTTTTACCCCTACCGGAACTCGAACCTAGGACTTATGATTACTATGTCAAGGAGCTACCACTGCACCACAGAAGGTCAAAAGGAATCCAACCTTATAGCTTATATCTGCTATACTTAGGAATGAACGCATTCTAACTGAATGCCACTATGTTCATATTACAGATTCCCCAACCTCACTCGTGGCTTCATTTTAGCATTTAATTCAATTCCCAATCTCATTCGGGCCATGAAATAACCAATTAAGCACATTACATATGTGAAAACATGAATAATTTTTTACAACGACCAGGAGCCGAACCTAGGACTTATGATTACTAAGTCAAGGCGCTACCACTACACCACAGAAGGTTAAAGGGAATCCAACCTTATAGCTTATATCTGCTATACTTAGGAATGAACGCATTCTAACTGAATTCCACTTTGTTCATATTACAGATTACCCAACCTCACTCGTGGCTTCATTTTAGCATTTAATTCATTTCCCAATCTCATTCGGGCCATGAAATAACCAATTAAGCACATTACATATGTGAAAAAATGAATCATTTTTTACCCCGACCGGGACTCGAACCTAGGACTTATGATTACTAAGTCAAGGCGCTACCACTACACCACAGAAGGTTAAAAAGAATTCATCCTTATAGCTTATATCTGCTATGCTTAGGAATGAACGCATTCTAACTGATTGCCACTATGTTCATATTACAGATTCCCCAACCTCACTCGTGGCTACATTTAAGCATTTAATTCATTTCCAATCTCATACGGGTCATGAAATACCCAATTAAGCACATTATATATGTGAAAACATGAATCATTTTTTACCCCGAACGGGACTCAAACCTAGGAATTATGATTACTAAGTCAAGGCGCTACCGCTACACCACAGAAGGTTAAAAGGAATCCAACCTTATAGTTATATCTGCTATACTTAGGAATGAACGCATTCTAACTGAATGCCACTATGTTCATATTACAGATTCCCCAACCTCACTCGTGGCTTCATTTTAGCATTTAATTCAATTCCCTATCTCATTCGAGCCATGAAATAACCAATTAAGCACATTACATATGTGAAAACATGAATAATTTTTTACCCCGACTGGGACTCGAACCTAGGACTTATGATTACTAAGTCAAGGCGCTACCACTACACCACAGAAGGTTAAAGGGAATCCAACCTTATAGCTTATATCTGCTATACTTAGGAATGAACGCATTCTAACTGAATGCCACTATGTTCATATTACAGATTCCCCAACCTCACTCGTGGCTTCATTTTAGAATTTAATTCAATTCCCAATCTTGTTTGGGCCATGAAATAACCAATTAAGCACATTACATATGTGAAAACATGAATCATTTTTTACTCCGACCGGAACTCAAACCTAGGACTTATGATTACTAAGTCAAGGCGCTACCACTACACTACAGAAGGTTAAAAGGAATCCAACGTTATAGCTTATATCTGCTGTACTTAGGAATTAACGCATTCTAAGTGAATGCCACTATGTTCATATTACAGATTCCCCAACCTCACTCGTGGCTTCATTTAAGCATTTAATTCAATTCCCAACCTCATTCGAGCCATGAAATAACCAGTTAAGCACATTACATATGTGAAAACATGAATAATTTTTTACCCCGACCGGGACTCGAACCTAGGACTTATGATTACTAAGTCAAGGCGCTACCACTACACCACAGAAGGTTAAAAGGAATCCAACCTTATAGCTTATATCTGCTATACTTAGGAATGAACGCATTCTAACTGAATTCTACTATGTTCATATTACAGATTCCCCAACCTCACTCGTGGCTTCATTTTAGCATTTAATTCAATTCCCAATCTCACGCTAGCCATGAAATAACCAATTAAGCACATTACATATGTGAAAACATGAATCATTTTTTACCCCGACTGGGACTCGAACCTAGGACTTATGATTACTATGTCAAGGCGCTACCACTGCACCACAGAAGGTCATAAGGAATCCAACCTTATAGCTTATATCTGCTATACTTAGGAATGAACGCATTCTAACTGAATGCCACTATGTTCATATTACAGATTCCCCAACCTCACTGATGGCTTCATTTTAGCATTTAATTCAATTCCCAATCTCATTCAGGCCATGAAATAACCAATTAAGCACATTACATATGTGAAAACATGAAAAATTTTTTACCCCGACCGAGACTCGAACCTAGGAATTATGATTACTAAGTCAAGGCGCTACCACTACACCACAGAAGGTTAAAAGGAATCCAACCTTATAGCTTATATCTGCTATACTTAGGAATGAACGCATTCTAACTGAATGCCACTATGTTCATATTACAGATTCCCCAACCTCACTCGTGGCTTCATTTTAGCATTTAATTCAATTCCCAATCTTATTCGGGCCATGAAATAACCAATTAAGCACATTACATATGTGAAAACATGAATCATTTTTTACTCCGACCGGAACTCGAACCTAGGACTTATGATTACTAAGTCAAGGCGCTACCACTACACCACAGAAGGTTAAAAGGAATCCAACCTTATAGCTTATATCTGCTATACTTAGGAATGAACGCATTCTAACTGAATGCCACTATGTTCATATTACAGATTCCCCAACCTCACTCGTGGCTTCATTTTAGCATTTAATTCAATTACCAATATCATTCGAGCCATGAAATAACCAATTAAGCACATTACATATTTGAAAACATGAATAATTTTTTGCCCCGACCAGGACTCGAACCTAGGACTTATGATTAATAAGTCAAGGCGCTACCACTACACCACAAAAGGTTAAAAGTAATCCAACCTTATAGCTTATATCTGCTATACTTAGGAATGAACGCATTCTAACTGAATGCCACTATGTTCATATTACAGATTCCCCAACCTCACTCGTGGCTTCATTTTAGCATTTAATTCAATTCCTAATCTCATTCGGGCCATGAAATAACCAGTTAAGTACATTACATATGTGAAAACATGAATCATTTTTTACCCCGACCGGGACTCGAACCTAGGACTTATGATTACTAAGTCAAGGCGCTACCACTACACCACAGAAGGTTAAAAGAAATCCAACCTTATAGCTTATATCTGCTATACATAGGAATGAACGCATTCTAACTGAATGCCCCTATGTTCATATTACAGATTCCCCAACCTCACTCGTGGCTTCATTTTAGCATTTAATTCAATTCCCAATCTCATTCGAGCCATGAAATAACCAATTAAGCACATTACATATGTGAAAACATGAATCATTTTTTACCCCGACCGAGACTCGAACCTAGGACTTATGATTACTATGTCAAGGCGCTACCACTGCACCACAGAAGGTCAAAAGGAATCCAACCTTATAGCTTATATCTGCTATACTTAGGAATGAACGCATTCTAACTGAATGCCACTATGTTCATATTACAGATTCTCCAACCTCACTCGTGGCTTCATTTTAGCATTTAATTCAATTCCCAATCTCATTCAGGCCATGAAATAACCAATTAAGCACATTACATATGTGAAAACATGAATAATTTTTTACCCCGACCGGGACTCGAACCTAGGACTTATGATTTCTAAGTCAAGGCGCTACCACTGCACCACAGAAGGTTAAAAGGAATCCAACCTTATAGCTTATATCTGCTATACTTAGGAATGAACGCATTCTAACTGAATGCCACTATGTTCATATTACA